AGAGTTCAGGGGGGTGCACTACACTAGCAGGGGGGGGGGAGGGGCTAATAGCTAGCTGCCCCCTTCACCACTCATGGATTTAATCTCCCCTGCATTTATTTAGCCCACACCATTGAAAATGTATTTATATAGATCTGGGTTGCAATGCCTGATGGGTAGGAATAGTGGAATACCATTGAATATATGTTTAAGAATGACTGTCCTGTGTTCTGATTGGCTGTGTTTTCAAAGTACTGGATAAAACTTAACTCAACAAGGTTAATATCTTTGGGTAGTGATTGGGAGTGACCATAAAAGATATCCTGAATCTGTTGATACCATGGCAGTAAGCTCTAAAGATGAAATGTGTATGATCATGAGTGTGTATCAATTTGGCAGGAAAATGATACATTGCCCCCCCCCCCCCCATGACCTTCCCCCTCATTACCTCACTACTCAGTCACTACAACCCAGGGTAACATGCTGCATGCATGCATGATGTGGCATATCAATTTTTGCCCTGTTAATCTGGTCAAATAATGTAAATTGGCAATTGACTGTACTGTGTGACTGCATAATGCACTTTGTTGTCAAACCCACAGATAACCCTTGCTTACTAAAGATTCTCCAGTAGCTCAGTCATTAGAGCATCCAACTAGATCAATGTGGAGGGTCATTGTTTTGGATTCCATCTGAAAGTCCTTTGAAGTTATTTCCTATTATCTATTTAATTTTCTAATCAGACTCATACCATAATTTGGTGTTTTAGCTCTTTTGTTAAAGTGACAACGACCCAAAAACAAGCAAAAACTATGAGTTATGGAATCAGTCTATTTTCTTATTATTTTATTATATTCTAATCAAGCAGCAAAAAAGATGTAAACTTGTATTAAATAGTGTTTGTTTTACAGTAGCTGTGACCAAACTTCAAGAAGCAGGGATCTTAATCTGTGATCCTGTAATAGTCCCATATCTCAGTCAACTTTCAAACTTGAAGTGGCTTCAGCTGACATGGGCAGGCATTGACAGTGTTATAGCAAGCTTCAAGGACAAAGCCCCTCCACCTTACCTCATTACTCGTTTTGGTGGTGTCTTTGGGCAAGCTATGGCAGAATATGTTATAGGAGAGATTATTGCAAGGGAGAGAATTTCCAGAAAATTATGGAAAAGACAAGAAGAGCATAATTGGTATGTTAAAATTCTTCAAACCCTACAGTAGCTGACTAGTTAGACTTTATAGGAATAATTATTGATCATTTGTCTCTAGCTGAAAGGAAATCAGAAAAAAATCAGAGTCTCTGACAGGATCAAACCATAACGTTTCGGATACCAGTCAAAGGCTCATCCACAGAGCTACAGGAAAGACTCACAATGAGCGGTCATTTACTAGCTAGACTTTATTCCTTTACTGGGGTGTAGTGTTTTTTAATTTCAGATGCATGTATGTAATTCTCTTGAGAATAGGATTCTTTATTCAAGTTCCTTAATCCATATTTATCTGTCTTTACATGTGCCACCATTAAATATTAAACAAAGAAATAATACTCTACTTAGGGAATGACAATATTGTGATCTGGATTGGAAACATTTGGTGCCAAAACCAAACCAAATAACGTCTATTGGAATCGATGCTGTGGCATTTATCATACAATTCCTCACTTACTGGTTTCTAATCTTCCTTTTAGAAAGCCAAAATTCCTGTTAAGCATGTTATTCTTGTAAAATTCAAAGTTGGCAAAGTATATTTCTGTGTGATGTTACAAATTTTATTACGAAATTTAATGCCTTCAGTGTATTGATCAACAGGTCGAATGATGTCAAATACCGCAACTTATCAAAGTTGACTCTTGGTATTCTTGGATTTGGAGACATTGGAAAAGAGGTTGCAAAGTACTGTAAAGCCTTAGGGATGACTATTTGGGCAATGGGACGAACTCCGAGGACTGAATTACCACCCAATGTGGATAATTTTAGAACACAGTCTGGTTTGAAAGAAGTGTTGGAGTCTAGCGATTATATTTGTAACATTCTACCAAGTACTCCCACAACTAAAAACCTTTTATCTGGTGATGTACTTGAGGTCTGTAAGTGCCGTCAGTCAGTGTTCATAAATGTAGGTCGTGGAGATGTCATAAGTGAGGAAGGCCTTTTAAGAGCACTGAAGAATGGATGGATTGCAGGTGCCGTTTTAGATGTGTTTGAAGTAGAACCCCTACCCAAAAGCAGTGAACTGTGGGACATGCCTGGAGTCACTATTACACCACATTGTGCTGCAATTTCGTTTGCTGAGGAGGTAAGTACTTTTTTCTCATCAGTGATACATATGATGACATTCTAGCTCTCATGAGATATAAAAAATATGCATGCCAAATAGGTCCCAATACTGAGYCTTTTGGACACCAACATCAGAATTAAAAATCTAAAAAGAAAATCATTGATACTAATTGATATTCAATAGTCACAGCTAGCTTATGCAGAGGCTTGACAGAAAAAACATATTCTGCCTGACAGGATTTGAACCTGTGACCTTCTGGATATCAGTTGAATGCTCTAACCACTGAGCTACAGGGAGACTCATGTGATTATGGTCACTTAACTGGTTTAGAATGACAAACGGCCTGCGTCATGCTAGGCTCTAAATRCTCACTTTCAGTTCAAACCATTCAACATATTAGTTGCTATTTGTTGCAGCATTTTATATCTCTTGGAAATAGAGAATAACATAAATATAATCAAGAATAAAATTTTTTACATATTTTTTTTGAAATATTTGCAGGTTGCTGAAGTATTTGCAAAAAATTACAAGTTGTTTGAGCAAGGAAAGCCATTAAATTATCTTGTTGATGTTAGTAGGGGCTATTAAACTGAATTAAATCAGAATCTCATACAAGAGGGTTGAAATATGTTACACTATACCCATGCTTCTTTTGATAATTTGTGGGAAAGGAAAATTAAGAGAGGATACTGACATGTGTAGAAAAAATAAAGAATAAAATTTTGATGATTGTCGGCAGAGTTGTAAACGTTTAGAGGCGTGACCATGTGTTTTTGGCCTAAAAACCCAGTTCAGTGACATCCTTGCAGGCAACAAATTATATTGATTTATTTTATGCTTCATAGTGCAGATCACACTCCACTTTTTCAAAAAATAAAGTTTTTCAAAATTTAAGGACAACCTTTTTTTTTCTTCAGTTCTAGTGATGAATAAAACTTTGCAAATGTATCAAAGCAATTACAAACAGAAAGAATAGTGTGATCTACTTTAATTTGATTACTGATCTTTAATTATTGATTTTTATCACAATGCCTGATTATTAATTATCAATATTTATATTGTGAATTACATTCACATAGTACATTTATATACATACGTAATTAGTTACATCACTGCACCCCAAACTAAACAATGACGTTATTAAARTATTAATGATAAAAAGGTAAATTATACACCGTGAAAAGATRAAAAAACTTTTTGACGTTTTGGACGCCAGTCCTTTGTCACCTTATTCACCTATTGGGCACTCTTAGTCCCAACAGGATATCTAATTTGATACCTAATTTGTTAGGGGTAAATACTGGAGCAAAATTTGAAGTCGTCAACAAGATTAGATGTTAAATAGAAATCCAAAACTTGTGGAAGTGTTTTTGGGAAAGTGCATAGCACAGTAAAGGTCTTTTCAAAAACAATCAGTGGAAAAGTCTTATGTGTATGGAAGGATCCTTATTTTGTGTCAACATGGACAATCTAGATAATTATTTTCCTTGGTTAATGCATGTATAACAAGGAAAGTTTGCAGAAAACATTGAACAACAAAAATAGTATGGCATTTCAACATCTTCCAATGTCATCATCAAGTACACTTGAATTTTTATTTTAAATATGCTATTTTTAACTGATTTTGTTGTTCAATATTTCATGTCCATGTTTGTCATTATTATGGAAGAAACAGAACACAAACTGGTATCTTTGCATTCTTGACGCAGTAGCTACATGTGGACCCAAGTTCTTCACCCTCTGTTTTGTCACCATGGTGGTTCATGACAATTATGTCTGCTTTTTCCTCTACAGAAAAGTCACATATTTTTTCAGCAACCTTGCCAGCATCTCCGAATGACAATGGAATTTTATTGGACTTGGAGGAGAACTAAAAGCAATAAAAAAGTAATGAATTGTTGGAATGAAAAATATTATTCATTGTGGAAATTGAATAAATAATACTTACCCATTTTCCCGGGGGGGGGGGGGGG